GTGGCTACTTTGAATGCTCTTTCAACAAATAATCCATTTAATGGTTAAATTTTACAATTGGGACCCTTTTTTTGCCTCTAAAAGCTCATTTTAGAATTATAGATTCCTTCACACAATACTATCAATAGTGCGGGCACCGCCATCTTTCTTTCACCATTGTTCCTAAATGGACAATGGTGAAAGAAAGATGTTGATGTTCCTACAAACAGCAGCGCACTCCCGTTGCAGAGCGACTGCTATTAACGAACGCACTCAAAAACTGTTACCAGTTGATGATGCTCATGCTGAGATCATCATATAAAATGAATAATCCTCTGGTAAAATATTTACTTAAATAATAAATAAGTATTTTACCTATGAAAAAAATGAATAATAAATCCAATTTAAATAAGGGTTTAACAACATGCTTTTTAATTTTTGGAACCTAACCCACCTTTTCGCACTAGTTTTTTATTTCGTATAATACAGATTCGCATAACATGGCAATTTTTTGGAACGTAACTCCTGTGTTATATGGGGGTTACCTGTACATACATAAAAGTGGAGTATGAAAAATAATATCAAAAAGTATACAAATATTACAAATTTGTAAATTAAACAACTTATAGATTTTTAATATATTTATTACTTATTTATTAAGTATTGACATTTATTAAAATTAATATTATAATAATAATAAATTATAAGTTGTTTTAAAGAGTATTCTAAAATTCTTACTTTATTTTTCAGCTAAATTTGTTGACTCAAAATTAAGAACTGGAAATAAGGTTAGTAAATTGTTGTAAGAAATAAGACTAATAAGTATATAATTTGTTAGGTGTCAGTTGTTAAGAATAAAAGTTGACAAATGATATATGTTTGAATATTTAATTCAATTTATATATATAAATGAAATTAACATTTGTTTTTTAAAATATATATAGTTTTAAAAACAAATGTTGGTTTCATTTTTTAACAATTTTACTTAACTTCAATTATCATTAAAGTACAGTAGAGCGTCGATTATCCGAAAATCAACTATCCGAAACGTCAATTATCCAAAACAATTCCAGTCAACAAATTTAAATTTTCACTAGTGTTGTGGAGCTGCAATCTTTGGCTATATCTTGGGCTACTCAAATATTTTACATTTTTGATACTAAATTAACTTCTGAAGTATAATTTTTTATTGTTTTTATGTTTTTCAATATATTTATTTTGTTTGTACAAAATAAATAAATAATTTTTAACAATGCAATAGTCTTCGTTAGGCTTAACGTCGACAAAAATTCAACGTGAAGTGACACGCGACGGAGAAAAATTTCAACATCGGATATGTTAAACTATTCTTTCGTACATAATCAGTTATCTGAAATATCAGTTATCTGAACAACCCCAGTTCCCAATTGATTTGGATAATCGATGCTCTACTGTATGTTAAAAAATGTTTTTAGTTAATTTTTTATTTGTATTTAAGTTGTGTGAGTTAATTGAAAATTGAAAATTTTTCAGGAAGCCACCGAAGAAGAATTAGAAAGATTATTAGATAAAATTATGGTTTTATTTAGATTTATTCATGGTAAGTTGTTGCTAAGTAAAATTAAAATATCTTTATTTAAATGTAATTACATTCCAATTTTTATATTTTATTATTTTGTTTAATAATAATTAATTCATTAAATTTGATCAGTAATCTTGACTGTCATATTAAAATATCTGTCATAGATCATAAATGAACAGTTGGAATTTTCTTAAAGCATGGAACTGTTCTTAATAGTGTATTGTAACTCTGGTGTTAATTTTTCTTCAAACATAATAAATACACTTAAAATCTTTCCTGTTTTAGTTTTTTATCCTTCTAAAAATTTAAAAATAAAAATGCACTTTGAGTAAAAGAATTTTATTCAAAATACATTGAGAATAGAGAGAATTTTGAAAGTACTTTATAATTAAGTGTTTCCAAAAATTAAAAATTTTCTTTTTAAAACTTTTATAACTTTAGTTTATTATTATTTTTTACTTTCCTTGCTGTTATATATGACAGGGAAAGTATGGCAATTGGTCAAAAAATGACCTCCCCAAGATTTTTATATTTTTTGAATTCAAGACAACTTCAAATGTCAAGAAATGCAAAAAATTTAGGGTTTTCTCATGTAAGGGTTTGGATGTTAGTGTGTATGGGATAGGCATGATTTTGTTTACCTGTTTGAAGCTTAATACAGGGTTCCTATACACCTGGAAAGTCATAGATTTTCATTAGTGTTCAGAAAAAGTCAATTAATGTCAACAAATTTGTTAAAAATTGTCAAAGTCGGAATTTTCTTCCTGGCTGCCTTGTTGATTTTTTGCTGACAATATGCTTGACTATGTGTGTGCAGGCAGCAACAAGTAATGTGATGCACTACAACTTATGAAAAGGGGTGCAGAATATTTTCAGGACCCAAAATTTTTCCCAAGCTTACACAAAATTTTTTCAAAAATTTACAAAGGACACAAAATGATAGTTTAAATATTTTTCATTTTAATAATTTTGATTGCATGACAAAACAATTTCTGATTTTTCTTCCAGTTTTTTAATATTTTATAAAGTTCAGGAAATTTACTAAGAAATAAATTTCATAAATATATACTTTTGTATGTGGATTATATATAATTTGTTAATGAATAATAATAAATAATTGTTTTTCTTTTCAAAGCCTTGCAGATTTATGGTTATGGATTTATAACAGAATAACAGAATTTAATAATACATTTTATTTTTAATTTTAATAATTCAGCAATTAGAAAAAAATAACTAGTTAAAATGTTGGAGAAGCAAAACATGTGCTTAGTAAGTCAAATGCTGTTTTATTTTGTCAATGTGCCATACTGTAAGTGACATGAGGGTCAGGGAATTTGTACAAAGTTGGTCAGGGAAAGTCATGGAAATTAAAACAAAAATTTGAGTATGAACCCTGTTAATAACTCCTGTGCTTTTTGTCAAAAATTTCTGAAATTTTGCAGGGAAGTTTGTTTAGTAGGGGTTAATAAACAAACTTCCCTGTTGCTATTAAATTTTGCTGATTAAATGTCAAGAAGATGGAGAGATAGAGGGGGTATCTCCAGTAGGGTCAGACTTAATGACGATTTTACTTATTAGCATTTACAATTTTTTATAAAATCATCCCTACCCTCAAAATTAAGCTTTTTACCATTTTATAATAGTTAAAAATATAAAAAAGTTTTTTAATAAAATACAATAATAGATGGCACCACACACCACCAAACGTTGCTAGGAAAGTTAAATAACTCATGGATTTTTTAATATATTATGACTATATGAATTATATTCTGATATTTCAAATAAAATTATCTTTGTCTTATAATATTACATAGTAATCAACTATTTATTAAGATTTATTAATTCATTTTAATTATAAATATACTAAAAATAATATTTCCAGGGAAAGATGTTTTTGAAGCATTTTACAAAAAAGATCTTGCCAAAAGGCTCCTTGTCGGCAAAAGTGCTTCAGTAGATGCAGAAAAATCTATGCTTTCTAAATTAAAACAAGAATGTGGAGCTGCTTTTACTAGCAAACTAGAAGGAATGTTTAAAGATATGGAATTATCCAAAGAACTTATGCTTGCTTTCAAACAAGTGAGTAACATCTACATTTAAATATAGTTTGCTTTTTAAGAAATTCTTAAATTACAGTGTGTGTGATTTTCCTGTTTTTAGTATTTACAAAATATAAATCCTCCTGGAAGTATCAATATGACAGTTAATATATTGACAATGGGCTATTGGCCAACTTATCAAGCAATGGAAGTTCATTTACCAGCAGAAATGGTCCAATATCAAGAAATATTCAAAAGATTTTATTTAGGCAAACACAGTGGAAGGAAATTGCAGTGGCAACCAAATTTGGGACATTGTGTATTAAGAGCTGATTTCTCTGCTGTAAGTCATTTTATATTATTGCAATCATATTCATATTTTAAAAATATTGATTTGAAGTTGAATTTTTAATGCCAGGTTTTTCACTACATTATTGAAATATTATGAAAGACTAATTATTTCAAAATATTTATCATAAGTGTTATATTTTAAGATAAATTTTATAGTTGCTAAATATGATAGTTGTAAAGTTTACAATTGAATGACCTAAAGGAAGAAGGAAGTAATTAGCAAAATGATGTTGTGAAATGTAAGTTCAAAGGTTTTTATATACAATACATCAGTATTGCATATTGCCTTTTTCCACCACCAAACTGCAGAATGGATGAGAGTAATTTCTTGAATCGTTTACCATGGGATATATATAGGCATTTACCCCTTTCTTCCATACCACTAACTCAAATTTTACAAAAATATAAGTTACCGTCTACTACTAAGCCCTTCAGTTGTTATTTTTCTATTAAAATTTATTGCTTTTAATCATTTGAAGATGCACTTATTTTTAAGTCAAATTATAACAGTTTTAAGAAATTGGACATTTTGTTGGAATTTACATTACTCCTAGTTCTGTCACTATTGACAAAAAAATATACCCTAAGCAAAGGCCTTCAACTGTAAGAGGGCCCAAGTGAGATTTTATAATATATTATATATATATTGTAATCATACACTTAGTATCAATCTTCATGAAAAATAGATTGATACTAAGTGTCAATCTATTTTTCATAAAGTATTCCAAATTGACTGTTATCCAATATCATTAATTTAAAAAAATATATTTAATTATAGGATGTGAAATAGAATGGGCCTACAAAATTTATTTTTTACAGTGCTCCGAGACCCTTCCTTAATCTTGCACTGTATTAGCTATCAAATAATATAAAACTCAAATGTTCTAGACTCAAACTTAGATTCCTAGATTAGGAACTGATTCCTTTATCATTTTGGTTATTCACCTACTGATGGCATTCCTATTGCAGAGTGGCATATTGAAAGAATAATAGTATAAATAATACAATTTTGTACAATGATTTTTGATTTTCCTGGCTGTTATATATAACAGAGAAAGTATTGTAATTTGTCAAAAAGTGACCCCTCAAGATTTTCACATTTTTGGACTCAGAGAAATGCAAAAAAATTCAAGGATATTTTCTGTTTTTATGTATGGGGGGGCATGATTTTGTTCACCCTCTTTGAAGCTTAATAACTTTCTGTGCAGGTAGGTTTTGTTTATTAGGAGAATTGATGCTATTAAATTTTGATGATTAAAGGTCAAGGGGTAGGGTGATGAAGGGGGTTGTGTGTATCTCCAGTAGGGTCAGACTTAATGAAAATTTTACTTGTTATTAGCATTTACAATTTATTATAAACCCATCCCTACCCTCAAAATTAAGCTTTTTGCTATTTTATAATAGTTAAAATATAAAAGTTTCTAAATAAAATATGATAACAGATGGTGCCACCAAATGTTGCTGGGAAAGTTAAGCAACTTGTTACTAGATTTTTTATATCTGGGGTTTTTGTCACTTGAGTTTCCATTCTGGAATAAATTTAAATTAATATATTTAACTGCAGATAAATTTTTGAGGAATTATTATTTTAGCTATTAAAATAGGAAAATAAATTTAAATATATAAACTTGATATAGTTTTTAGCAAAATTTGTTAAGTTTCTAAATTGTCAACTATATCCATTTTTTTTTAAACTGAAATAGATGAAGATGCTGAGATGTATTGCATCCCGGTCAGAATGTCATATTAGATATAAGAAAACATTTCTTTTTTTTTTTAATTGAGCTAAAGCACCACCATATAGTATTATGCTAGTCTGAAAATGTTATAAACCGATTTTAGTATTGGATGTATAAAAAAAATCATATAATTCTTTTTCTGATTTTTCAATTCTGCAAAAATATTAATCAAAGAATCGTTATCTAATTTTTGTGCTAACTCAGATTCGATATTTAGTATTGATAGTGCAGGTAATTTATCTTCTTTTGTTGAATTTCTCAAATAATTTTTAACTCTTCATTGTAGAGAAAGATCTTTCACCACTAGCATTACTTATTGGCATCGTAAGATATATTCTTAGAAGAATTTGCATATTGGAAAAGGTTGATATTATATTATTATTTATAATAAAATATAACATTTCTTGGGGGTTCTTTTCTATGTGGTTATCTTAAAATTAAAGACAAAGTCTGCCCAAAAGGGACCACCATTTATTTCTTGTGTTCCAGACTACACATTCACGGCGACAGACCTTCCTTTATAGGCTACATGACGCCAGAATTTAAAAAACGTCCTTTAAAAACACAATTACATCCAATTGAAAAAAAAAAAAATTTAAAGGAACTGGTGATATACAGACGTCTTGCTTTCCATCCATCCATCCATCCTTCTTCTTCTTCTTCTTCTTCTTCTTCTTTCCGAAGTTTCCGAAATCTGCATTTTCCAGCGCTTGTTCCAGTAGATAAAAGCAGAAACACCCCATAGGATGGATGGAAAGCAAGACGTCTGTATATCGGAGTTACGCGATTTTCAAATCTCGTCGATTCGTCTTTTGTTTGAGCGCCACGCAACTCTTGATTACTCACTCCCCCCACACTATTGTTCTCGACACAGGAATCGACACATAGCTACAATTTATTTTGTGTTATTTATTTCTGTGTTTGTAATATCTACGGACACTCAAGAGACTCTATGTGGTGATTTCTTGTAACCGTGAACGAATCAAAAGACGAGATAAGATTAACGAGAACATTTATTAGCTTACATACATCCGACTTGGATTTTACACAATTTGNCAAACTTGATTGTAATATAAATAAGAAAAATGTTAAAATATATTAAAAAAAAAAATGTTAAAATATATAAAAAAGAAAATTGTATTGAAAGAAGAATTATTGAGCATTTTTGCATCATTATGCATGCAAATTTCATAAATTTAAATACCAGGATGAATGTTGATGCATGCTGGGAAAAGTTTACTTGACATAAAACAGGAGCAGTGATCGATAGTCTGATGTATCCACTGATGAGGCTTACTCGTGAAGCAAAATGCATTTGGAGTATATCAATTGTAGATAAAGAGGAATAAAAAAGCTGGAAATAATGTAAATTTAAGTTTTCGTCATTAGTTTGTCTGTTTAACTTGTATCGTTCCTCGAAGTCGGAAGAAGTCAGTGTATTTTTTACTTGTTTTTAAAACTAGGAATATTCTTTATTTTTAGTATTTAACAATATTTAAAATTCGTAGGTTAAATGCAAAAAATGTAAAATTTATATTAGAAAAACGAAATTAGTAAACAAAACATGAAAATAAATATTTTTAAAACGTAAATACACTACTTGTCCATCAACAAAACTGTAGATGCTGATTAGGAACGTGTTGCCAACTGTAAAATAATTATTTTTCTACATGACAATTTAAGTGCTTGTATGATGAAAAAAAATATATTTAGTAATAAATCGAAAGGAAAAATATAATTTTAAATTTTTGCTTCTCACTTGGGGTGCCCTAAATTTTTTCTATTCTTTTGTTATTTGCGTCGCCATTTAAAACTCCATCCGCCCTGTGGCACTAAGTGGGCCTCTTTTGGCAGGATCATTATGGGTTCGGCCCAAGGACTATATACTACAAGGATAGCCAGATCCCTATTCTACAATGTTAGCCAGGAATGGCAAGTTAGTGACGTCAGCACGTGTCCTGACCTCTCTGTTTACATAGAGCAGGGTGTGCACGTGTTTAGTTTTCGCTTTTAATATTCGTCCAATTTTGTGATTAACGAAGTGATTTATTTTAATATTTCTGTAATTGTTTTATTTGACTAAGTTTTTTATAAGGTAAGATGATTTAAATATAAGTCATTAAATATTTAAAGCTATATTTTTATGTTAGGTGAAGAACAAAAT